ATAAATATTGTAGACTCTTTAGCTTATAGTCTATTTCACAATAGTGAAGCAAGCCAACAATTAGTACAACTCACCCTTAGCAATCAAAATACACCAACATTTACCTTCTACACAGATGGATCAGGATCAGAAATTGGCACCAGCAACTGCTCAATGGGGGTTGGCTGGGTACAAGTCTACAACAACCAAGTTGTCAACAGCTTCTCAGCAAAGATTACAGACTGGCCATTATCTTACAAAGCAGAGCTTGTAGCAATTCTATTAGCCATCTCTACACTACTATAAAATACTAAAATAGACATCTTTACTGACTCCCAGTCTATTATCGCCAAATACAATAAACTTCTACACACTTCTACAAAGTTTACAAAATACTTCAAGTTTAACTACTGGCCTATCTGTCACTCACTTCTCAACGCTATCAAGGCTTTCAACATCCAACTCACCTTCTATAAAGTTTTATCACACTCTGACAATTAGTTTAATAACGCTGCAGGCGTGCTGGCCAAAAAACACCAACAACACATCTACACTCTTCAATTCAATCATACTAATATATACAATTCACATTCTATTATACAATGGCGCAAACACAATGTAGAAAAACCTACAAGGCAATTTGTCAAAACTATTGGCAGAGCACAAACTATAGCAATGTGGTCCTCCCAAAAACGCAATATAGAATGGGAAAGCCATGCATCTACAATTGACTGGAACTCCACTTGGCGTTATATCAGCAATAACCAAAAAGCTACAACAAATATTACATCACCAAAACTAAGCCATATGAAAGCCTTTAGAGTTAAAAATTTGCTCAGTGACTTACCTACCTACTCACACTTCCACCTTATTTCACCCAAAATCTTCTATATTCCTACCTGCTTCTCATGCAGTAGCCCAGAATCAGCAACTCACTAGCTTACTTGCAACATTTCCCAAACTCTCAGTCAGATTGTACACACCTCAATTACAGAAATTATCACCAAACTGTTCACTGATGCACCACTTACACTACAAAGAGAGATCACAGATCTAATCAAATCTCATCCTTCTTTCAACTACTCTCAGCACCCCTCCTCACAATTATACTCACTATCAATAACCCTAAAAGGGCTTATCTCTTTCCACCTATTACAAGCATTATCCGTGCTAGAGATACAATACAAAGAAGCCTCAAATATTATTATCCAAATACTACTACTTATATCCTTAGAGATATATGAACAAATTTGGAAACCATACTGTGAAAAATTCACTAAATGGAAAAAAGAACATAAAATACCAACCTATAACCAAAACCCCTCTTTATGTCAACAGGCCCCCATCAAACCCACCAATCACGCAAAAATTTCACATATAGTTGCCTTTCTGGCTTGCCAGATCAGCTACATACTGACAATAATAGTTGCCCTCCCAAAGGGCAGGCTCAGCAAAAGTTTAACCAATGGTCCAAATTATGGATCCAATATAGCATGTCCACAAATTATATATTAACTATTAATCTAGGTGAGTCTTGACCACTCTAGTAGGTTTAGGTCACAGATAATTAGTTTGAGTCTTTAGTTTTCTTTAGTCCAATCTTTTAGTCTGAGCTCTTATTCTTGCATGTAATTTATATCTATTTGTCTTGTACAAGTTAGGTTTTTATTATAATCACCTAAATAAATTACCAAATAAAGATATGAGCAAGGCCTCACCTTAATAACAAAAATAAATAAATAAATAAAAAGAAAACATATTGCATTAAAAATTAAAAAATTATTTAAAAATGACTTTCAATTTTTTAGCATTTTTAATTTCTAATATTTTGGTTTGAAATGTAAAATTACCAGAATTGGCTTCAACAATTTTTAATAGTTTGTTTATGTCTATACCTTGATTATTGTTGTTTGATAAAATTTCTCAATTAAAATTATAATTTCTTGCAACTCATTTTTAGAGCAGACACTAATTAAACAATTAATATTTTTTAATTTTAAAAATAATGGGTTGAAAAGATCCCTATTTGTTACAATCAAACTGATTGCTTTTTTGTTATTAATTAATTGACCTTCCATTTTGGTAAATTTATCAACTCCAATATATCTACATTGTGCACTCCACTTAGATTTAATATAATATTTGTAACCACTTAGATTACCAATACAACTAGTTAATACTTCACTTTTATCTAGCAACATACCAATTAGTTTTCTGTAGGCCTCTTCTCTTTTGTCTTCTAGAATCTATAAAAAAAAATTATTAAAAAAGATAACATTTTACTCAATAGCGCTTAAAATCACTTGTGATAATTTATTGTTAAAAATTGATGCTAGAGAACTTGTAAATTCTTGCTCATAGTATGCCTTATTTATTATAAATGAACTATGGCTTTTGATTAAAAAATTTTGAGTACAAATTTGAGTTTAATTATTCTAATACTGTAATACTGCAATAAACACTTAATGGAAAATAAAAATGTAAGAAAAAAAAAACAATGTTCTTTTTATAGGAAAAAAAACAATAATATATGAAAGGGTTCATCTGATTGGTTGGTCATTGATTATCTAACCAGACCTGCATCATAAAATCACAGCTGATTAAGAGTAGGGTGTCTATAAATCATTTCTTTATATGATTTACATGTATAACAAAATTTTATATAGTCAACAAAAATTTGTTTCTAAAAAAACTTTTTAGAAACATAATAAAACTTTACCAAAATTTTTTGGTATATACTTTAAAGTCTCTTATTTATATTAATAAAATTTTACATCTTGTATTATTTAAAAATATTCATATTTATATATAGATAAAAAAGTTAGGTGATCTAAAATTTTGTTAGATCACACAAGAATTGCTAGTTCTGATTGTTTAAATCTAGTTGTTTATAATTCTGATTGGTCAATCACATGATTTCATATGATTTACCACATGATTACTATGAAAATTGATCTGTGGACACCCTACCCGTGACACAAACTTCATCCAAAATTTCAAAATTTCCATTATACATATTATAATGGAGTGCAGAGCCATAAGCATTACACATTTTTGGTCCAAGATCAGGACGATTTATATTTGTGGCAATCTATTAGCCAAATTTAAACCACCTTAACGAGTAGTATATTCTTTAAATGGCAAGACATTCATGAAATCTTGAAAATGATTAGGAAATACATTAGCAAAATCATCCGTTGATGGCCAGTCCTTTTAAATAATTAATAAAAATTAATATTTAATATATAATCTGACTACATTATAATATTATTCTATAATCGACTTATCTTTAGCTTTAAGCATGGATATTTCCCTCTAAGAGTGAATCTAGAATTGATATCTTCAAAAAATTTTTGTACATTCATTGGGCAAGTCGAACCAGACTCACAATCCACACATTCACTTTCTATTTCACCATATTCTGTTTTTGGTGTCCATAAATAGTTTGATAGTTGAGTAAACGTTTTCTTTAGCAAGAACGGGTATCCTTTCCTCCAAATATCTTTAAAAATTTATTCTGTAAGTTCATCTTCTTCCCATTCTATTGTTTGATGACTATCATGAGATTGTTGAGAACGATTGTGTAGCTGAAATATTGCCTTCTCGGCATTTGAGAAAGTTCAAATTTGGTTCCTTGAAAAGTAAATTCAAATTTTTTTGCTCTTGATAAGAATATCAATTTCATGAGGTTGTGTTAAATCTAATTTAGTGCAGATTTTGATAGTTATTTTCATTTCACTTCATTTATAAATTTATTACCTTAAATTAGATTAGTTTCACTAATTTAATCAATTTCGCCATTTTAAACATTTTTAGCAAAAATCGAACCTAATATCAACGCAAAATTATGAATAATGCTAAAACTATAGAATAAATACTCTAGTGCTTTTGGTTTGGTTAGTAGTCGTTAAGAGTGGACTCAAATGTCAATTTTCAAGTCGTTTAATTTATAAATAAAAGGTAAATATTTTAGTTTCAATATTTAATGTACTTGTAATCCACTAATTTTTAAGGTCAGAAAATCATATTTTATAGTTAGTTGATTTGTTCAACAAATTAAAAATACTTTTATAGACAGATCAAAAAAAAAAAACATATGTTGGCTAAAATATGTAATAATTTTTTTGAAAGTATATTTAGTAACTTAGCAAAGTCCTATGCTACTTTTTCCAACTTCAACACGATTTTCCAGCTTATAAACAAATATACAAATTTCAAATGGATTTTGAGACAAAGCTTCAATGCAAAAATAATAAAAATAATAAAAAGGATTTTAAAGGTTCCTACCGCTAAAGTAACAAACCACTTTAATACTATGATAAAATTTATAAATTAAGTGATTAAAAAATTTATCTTTGTAATGCAAATCGTGATTAGGTATTGTTGAAAGTTTTGTTGACTAAGAAAGAATTACTATATTTGAATGTTACATAAACACATATAAACTCCTCATTTTTTTTTATAAGCATGAGAATTTGCTCTCTATTTCTACTGTATTCATATGTTTACTAATATCAGACATATTTGGAAAATTTATTCGTATCATATAGCTTACTAGAGTACATGTCGGGTGAATGTATTTGTTTATTCTGTTCTATTTTGATCTTATTAGCCTCCAAAAATTGATTTTTAATTTCATTGTCACCTTTCTGATCCATTGCATCTAACCAACGGGTGATTATTTTAAGAATTTCTGTTGCAGTAGGTCGTTTATTAAAATCTTTGTCCATACATTTCATAGCTAATTCAATACAACAATCTGGTCCTAAACACTTAGGTCTTGATCCACCGATAATTCTTGATACAAGATGATCGTCAAATGGAATTCCATCGAATGCTCTTTGTCCAGTTGAAATCTCTGTTGCAACAACCCCAAGACTGTAAATATCTGATGCTTGAGTATACGTTGACCCACCAAAACTTCTGATGCTATATACGGCAGAATTCCACAAATTTTCCTTCTTTTACTTTTTTAGAAAGCCCAAGATCTGTAATATATGCGTTTTGTAAATCAAGCTGCAAAATGTTTCCGCTGTGTAAATCTCTATGGACGAGTTCTTGCGAATGAATGGATTCGAGATCCAAAGCTATATAGTACAAAATATTCAATTTATCCTTCCATTCTAATTGTGATACTTGTACAAGATTTTGTCGTAACGAACCTTTTGCTGCAATATACATAACTATAATATAATCGCCATGATTATTTCTTGATACTCCAAGACATTGCAAGAACGAAGGATTCTTGTAACCAATTTCACAGTAATTCTTCAATTCTTGAATAAATTCTTGCTCAGTTTCGTTAGAATCACGAATCACTTTGAGTGCAACATCCATATAACTTTGATTAATACTGTCAAACCAAGTTGCCCTATATACAGTTGCAAATCCTCCTTATCCAAATTCTGCGATATTTTGAAACTCATTATAATCAATCCAAGATAATTTAAATCTTTCATCGCCTAATATTCTCTTAAGTTTAGGATTGATATAATCTGGCGATATATTAGTTTTCAAAAGACCTCTAAATCTTGTGAACCAATAATTTGCTACGATAACATCGAGCAACATTATCCATTGCTGATTCAACACCCATATTAGCAGATTTTTTATAACATTCAAATGCTTTATTATGATCTTGATCGACCCCTGTTCCATATCTATAACTACGACCAATATTACACATTGCAAAAGAATTATCCAAAGCAGCAGATCTCTTAAAATATTCAAATGCTTTCTGGTAATCTTTTTCTACTCCGAAACCATGATCATAACAAAGGCCAACGTCATTAATCGCATCCGAATTTCCTAACTCAGCAGCTCTCATATAATATTCAAAAGCCTTCTTTTCATCTTTCTTAACACCGATACCATATTGATGATTGTAGCCAAGTGCACGAAGTTGTTTAGAATCCATTCTTTTTAAAGGATGAAAAAAAAAAAACTATCACAATAAAGTTACAAATTTAATTGCCTAAAACGTAAGCGGAGGACATTTAATGTTTAATCAAGGTGATACAAAAGTTATATCAATAAGTACATTTTTTGATTAGCTTATTAATTGACCTATATTATTTATCAAAACGTAATTTTAAAATTTAGCCGCATGCGTATTTGTATTTAATGTAACAAAACCATTAAATAGAATGTTCGAAAATTTTACTATAGATTTGATTGGCTATTGCTTAATGCAGGCCCAGCTCCGGTGCATCCACTCAGAATTTTCGATTGCCCGTAAAAAATCTATATCATAGATAATAAACATATTGATATTTATTGTAAAAATTAAATAAATAAAATTAAGAATTGAATTAATTGTTAATAGAATGAAATATCACAAATCATAATTCTGTTACAAGCAACGAATAGTAAATGCAGTGGTAGTGCTTTGTAAATATAGTTACAATGTACCGCATTTAGATTACTAAAAATCCTAATATCGATATTTTTTTTAATGCTCTGAACCTTAATTTAAATACAAAGTAAACAGTATACTAGCTATGTTAAGTTTTTTTGACATATTGATCCTCCTCAATATTTTTAAATTACAAAATTTATATTTTATAAAATTTAAATATAAATTAAAAAATTTAATGAATGATTATGACATAAATTCAAAAAAAATAATAAAGCTTATCTTAAAGTTTTCAAAACAAGCAACCAAAACACAAATGATAAGAATAATCAAGATTTATAGATTAAACGAGAAAAAAAATATTTTATCTTTGTAATAATGGGATTAGATATTGTAAAAGAAAAAAATACTAGTTGTACCTTCCTAAGCGCATGTTACAAAAACACATATTTATATAATTTAATTTAAATATAAATTTGAGAATTCGTACGAAATTTCTACGGTTTATTAAAATATTCTGAAAATTTATTCGTATTATATAGCTTGTTAGTGTACATTTCTTCTGGTTTAATCTTATTAGCTTCCAAAAATTGTTTTTTGATTTCATTATCATCTTCCAGATCCATTTCATCTAACCAACGTGTAATTATTTCAATAATTTCAGTTACAGTAAGTCGTTTATCATGGTTTTTATCCATAAATTTCATAGCTAATTTAATATAACAATTGGTCCTAAACATTTAGGTTTTGATCCACCGATAATTCTTGATACAAGATAATCATCAATCGGAATTTCATCAAATGCTCTTTGTCCAGTCGAAGACTGTAAATATCTGATGCTTGAGTATACCATTGACCCACCAAAATCTCAGGTACTATATAAGGTAGAATTCCACAAATTTTTCCTTACTTTACTTTTTTAAAGTCCAAGATCAGTAATATATGCGTTATACAACTTACTTTGCAAATATTTCCGCTATGTAAATTTCTGTGAATGAATTCTTTCGAATGGATCGACTCAAGATCAATTGCTATACACTGCAGGATACTCAATTTATCTTTTCATTCTAATGTGATACTTATACAAGATTTTGCCGTAACGAACCTTTATTGCCAAATACATAACAATAATATAATCACCATAATTATTTTTCGATACTCCAAAACATTGCAAAAACGAATGGTTATTTTAACCAATTTCACAGTAATTCTTCAATTCTTGGATAAATTCTTGTTCATTTTCGTTAGAATCACGAAATACTTTAAGCGCAACATCTCTCCGTGTATTATTAATTCTGTCGCGCCAATTTGCCCAATATATAGTTGCAAATCCTCCTTTTCCACATTCCTCGATAACTTTGAGCTCATTATAGTTAATCCAATCTATAATTGTCTTAAGTTCGGGTTGATATGATCAGGTGATTTATTAGCTTTCAAAAGACTTCTATATTTTCTTCACCAATAACTTGCACTTTGAATATCCCTCTTTTTACCGTAACCGTTGTGATAAATCGAGCAATATTATCCATTGCTGTATTAACACCCAAATAAGCAGATTTTTTATAGTATTCAAATGCTTTGTTATAATCTTGTTCAACTCCCTTTCCATTTTCATGACAAATGCCAACTTTTTTGATTGCATAGACATTACCTAAATCAGCCGATCTCTTATCATATTCAAATGCTTTCTGGCAATTTATTTCTACTCCAATTCCATAATCATAACTATTACTAACATTAATCATCGCAACCGAATTTTCTAGCTCAGTTGCTTTAATACTATATTTAAAGGCCTTCTTTTCGTCTTTCTTAACACCATTATCATGTTCGCAATTATAACCAAGTGTATAAAGTTGTTTAGAATCCTTTTTTTTTAAAGAGGGAAAATATTCATGCTCTAAGTAAAAATTGTCTAGAGCGATAACATTTAATGCTTAGTCGAAGTGATACAAACAACAAACATTACTTATTAGTTGACTTAATTAATTTAGCTACATATTTTTGTGTAATAAAACAGGTTTAAATGTTAATTTCGCTTTAGGCATGGTTGGCTAGTATTCTTAATGCCGACACAGCTCGATGCAGTTCCATATTATAGAAATAATCATTTAAAAAGTTGCTGATAAGGACTGGGAATAGCGCGAAAAGTTACATTTAAATTCTGCTACAAAAATAGTGAATAGTAATTGCAGAGGCGTTACTTAAGTCAGCGAATTTTGGAATTAGACCTTTATCCAATGCTTTAAAGATTGCAC